TTGCGTATGTGGTGGAATATTGCCAATTAGGTCTTTAATGATTCAAGGTAATGAGACGCTCACTAAAAATCGTTTCGGCAAATACGAAAAGTGGTTGATGTTAAAGAAGCGGCATCTTGTTACAGAAGGATCAGGGGTTGACGATCATTCGCTTGTTTAATGTAACAGACTATGTATGTGCAGAATTTTTCAGGAATAAATATAGTTTCGCATTTCCGTTTATTTTTACAGTCGTTATCTATATATATAGCCAAAGTATTTGAATTTTTAAAATTAATATTTTATATACTATGTTCTGTTAGGTCCCCAATTTTTTACTTGGTAAATTTGAATAGTTTGGCAAAGTGCGTCGATTATATATCGGTCCGTGAACTTACTTTCACCTTGACCAATAGGAACTTCCAATTTTCCTGAAATTAGAAAGAAATCGTGAGCAATATTGCACTATATAAATTTCGCATTAATTAAGATTATTTTCAATCTTGATGCTCACGGAAGCGCTTATTTTCAATTATTTGTAGTGTGATTAAAAAAGATTTGCTATTTTTTATTGGATTCAAAAAAGTTCATTGTTGTTATTCGTCGACGTCAATGTGGTAAAATATTATAGTTTGTTTTGTTTATACCCATATATATATATACTTGGCATTCTCTCTACTAAAGCATCAAGTATCATCGCTGACATGAAAGAACCCGAAGTGGCGATCTAGAGAGATTATTGATCTGATCGATTGTTTTGTTCTCGTTCTCAAGTGAACAAATCGATTACGTCAGGTGTAATTAGACCAGTATGCAATTCTAGAAGGTAAATATTACCTTGATATATTGGTTTATTTATTCCGATAATTTTGATATCAGGTTTCTGTAGAAATAGAATCCTATTTCGTTTTCAGTTAGTTAGTCTATAGTTAATAATGAAGAATTGTGTTTAATTTTTTCTGTAGATATTCATGGTATTTATCTAAATTTATATGATATTCTGTTGTGATATTGATACCGGAAACAGCTGAGAAAAAATAGGTAACTTCATTGTGAAAGGATAGATAGAGGACGCGGACAGTATTTGCGTAAGAGAATCTTTCATGGCATTAACACCCACGTAATGACGGCGAACCCGATCTTTCCGGTAAATGCCAAATTCACAATTTTAGTTTACGAAAAACATTCACAAATGTTTTAGACGCCGTAGATATGTCAAAATATGTGTGTGTTACTTTCCGGTATCATTAAATAGTCTAACACTGAAGACGCATTTACGCCATTCTCGAAGTGGCAAATAGTTCTGTCAAAGATAATCCAAAAAGAATAAAATATTAAATTGTTTAATCTAATCTAAGTGCTTGCTCTCTTTTTACATCGAAGTCTTTTAAAAAATCGAAATGCCCGCTGTTGAGACAATTACCTCAATCTTAGTAAGTAGCATAAGTGGCAATCGATTCAATAATAGTTTATATAATTACTAACCATTATGCAATTGGTGAAACATTCGACAATTTCATGCATCGGATGAGTGAAAATGACGGAACAAAATTTACTCATATGTCAATTTATGCTAGTGTCGGGTCTTTTAATTTGAAATTCCGTGCTCTCCAAAAAAGACTCAATATCTCCGATGATCTCGTTTTGACAAGTGTCAGATGCTGTGAACACAAAAAAGCCATCATTGTCACAACAATTTATTTTCTTGATTGGGGAGTTTGAAGAACTAGAATACAACCGGACATTTTAACGACAAGCTTCCCATCTCAGATGATTTAGTATGGTATGTTGCGGGCATGACGTATTTTAGGCTAGGTGGCCAGGAAACTTAAGACATAATTTTGAGACTACAAAAAAAGGAAAAATTATTAAAAAAATATTCAAATCGAAATAAATTACTGCCTTGTTATAATATTTCAAATTGGCCCAAAAGTGTCCAGTTGAAAACATATCCTTTGGTTTGAAATTTCACCTTAATAAAACGTTTCATGGCTTTAAGATTTATATTTAAGTGAAAATGCAAAACAGATAGTAAATTGAAATTACAATGTGCAAGATATATCAAAGTACAAACAGCGTACCACCGATTACCATAATTAAGCTTATGTAATTTATTACAAGATATTTACTATCTTATTTTGAACAGTCAGCATGCTTGTTAATTAAATATCGATTCCGTACATTCTGCAGTAAACAAGTGACTCCCTGTCTTTCCGCATTCGAAAGCTGTTGTATTAAAAGGTTGAAACTCAAATTCGCCTTCCGATTGACGGTCGATACTTGTCTGATAAAATAATTCAATATATTTGATGACAGAAAACATAAGAAACCGTATGAATGATGGAAAAAATAAAGTTTAATTTTAAAGAATTTAAAACCTCATTTAATGTAATGAATTGATGACGTTGGCTTCATTTTGAAATTTAATAAAAACACGGAATTGCTTTTAGTTGCACAAAATGAAGATTTTAGCAAAGTTTATAGTATACACAGTTTAAAAATGAAAATGGCACGCCTACTCGAACGTATAGGTATAACTGCACTTGGTGAATATGCTCTCCATTTGATGGAAAGTTGCATGACCAATTTATGACATTCATTCGAAACCTAAGCAAGTCAAATTTGGGCATCTGTGTTGGGCACTATCTAAAAATTTAAACATAGAAAAGGTATTATGGCAAGTTGTTAATTCAGTCAGTTGATGTGATTTTAAATAGAATCAGAATGATTTATATGAGAAACCGCATATATAAGATATATATCTAAATTTGTGTAATTTCAATAAAATAAAGCAAATTAGGCGACTTTAATTTTATAAGCAAAAAAAATCGGAACTCACAGAATATGCAAATTCTTAAGTGTAGTTTGAAAGTAATAAGTAACTTCTTATTTATCCTAGCAACATGCTGACTGACAATATCGAATCGGGAAAGTGAAAAACAAGAAACATGTTGAAACAACGCTTGGATTCGATGTGTTTATATCGAAATTATTTCTTATTTTTATTTATTTTGTAAAGGTGAGACGACGTTGAAATTTTATTTGGTTGAAGTTCAGTTCATTTATATATAAACCCAACAAAGGTAAGGACGAGAATTGTTTACATAGCAGCTGTCACCTCAAATAATAGTGATAACTAATTTATATAATATAAACAGTCATACTTTGTAGCAAAAGGAAACAATATTCGCAAACTTGTTTCAAAAGACCGACCAGTCACCAGTATACCAAAATTGCATTAGGCTCAACGTGAGTGGTTCATTTTTAAGGCGGCTACTCCATATTAAATTTTTCGGGAAGATGGGTAAGTAATAGTCTCAAAGCACTAGCTTTTGAATTATTCAGCATTACACTGTACTGTATACCATAGTTGAAAGGATGTATATTACTCGTCGCCCAAAGGATTGTTTATACTCTTGCCACTTTGGCTGATTAAAGTTAATTTGATAAATTAGTGCGTCGCAAAGTGTAGTCCAATATTTCACGTGAACCTTGAAACCACGAAATGATTATTTGTGCTAGGTGTGTGAAAAAACATTGGGACAGCCCTTGCTGTAAACTATAGTTCATGTCCTCATTTATTAAATTATTATTTGTGTATATAGGCCTAATTATGCTGTTTGGAGAAGGCATGATCTCTTTGCCAGCCAGAAATTAATGTAAAACTATTTCTATCAAATTGCGGAAAATGTAAACAGCCATACGCACTGAACGGCGAGGAACGTAAAATTTTTCAGGCAAACTCGTTCCGTCAATCTTCAAATTATCAAATTTTGACTGACGCAACTTAAACTAAATTGCTGGCACGAAGAAAAGCAGCATTTCAGTTGGTCAGTCCCAAATATTTTTAATTATATTCTTGGCGGCGCGATGGCCTAGCGGTTAAAGCGTTAATTAACCGTGTTGTCATCGTAGATTACACAGATTATTTCGGGTTCATATCCCATGCCCTCACCTCATCCAACATGGCTAGGCAAAGCCGAACCAGAAAGATTTCGGTCTTTCGTAATAAGGAATAGCATTTTACATACCGTGAGCCATCACTATCTCCACAGCAACCGGCTTTTATGGTGAGTTGGTCATTACAAAAGCTGGCAAGCAATCTACTAATTCGATTAAAAATAATTGGATGAAATGTCGCGCCGCAGTAATCCGGTGGGAATATTTGTCACTGGTTAAGAAGATCTTGTTAACGAAAATGCGAAATAGTACAAGGTGATCCTATCCTAGGCAAAATCAAGTTATTCGCCGCATCTTCAGGGAATTCTCTTGATATGGAAATAATTACTTTTAAAACATGTTCAGTTCCATTCATTGCACTCATTAGTTTGATGTATAATAAAAAGCTAATCTACGTCTCGTAAACTATTGTGGCAACATCGTATGTTACAGTCCGCTATATATCGATCTCTCACTAATCCAGAGTTTGTTTGAAAAATCGATATTACGGTTGATCCTTATGCAGTAAAATAGTAAGATTCGATGATACCTTTCATTTTAGAATTACTTTCCAAGTTTTTACAAAATTTACATATACATTGGTCTTGCTGAGCACAAATCAATGACTATTTATTTTAACGATTCGCTCGAACCAGTGGTCGGACGGAACATTACGATGTAATTTCGTTAGGTTGGGTAGTGAAAAATGTTTCATTTCCAGGTCGGTTTTCTCGCATGATTAATACATTTTTGAAGCAGTGGGAAGAAAGAGATTCCCTTTAAGAATCTTTGAAAGAAAATATTTTCCAAAAGCGCGACTGCAAGTCAGAAATGTTTTTAAAAACGCTCGCATAATAGCCGATATATCTTATCTTTCCGTTTAGGTAGCCACGTGTTATTTATTGCATAAATCTGTTGAATAACTATTTATATAAAACGAGTCTTCAAATTATTATTATTTATGGATATTGTTAACCTTATAATTAATGTTGCTTCTAATAACTTTGTAAATTACTTTCAAATTGTGGGAGGGAGAAAGTTCATATATACGATGCGATGGTATCATAGCATTCTTTAATAGAATTGACCTGGAAATTTCCAACGCCGAAATGCCTTTGCATATTTTCAAAACTGAGTAACACTACAAGTTTAATGTGCATAACGTATTTATAAAATAGTTTTGCTGCAATTTCAGAGGGAATCGATTTTTATATGTTTATTAATAGAATTATCTAAATATTTCTGATAAATAAATTTGTATTTGTGCATTGGATTAAAAGAACTGTTGTCGCCAGTAAATACATAATTATATATTTTCAGACAATAATACAACATTTTATACATAGCTTGTGAATGGAGGTTAACCTAACTAAGAACACTACAACAGTCTTTCACCCATCCACAGCTGAAGACGATTCCATCAAATGGTGGACTGATTGTGCAGCGACACCTACTGTTCGATATATTATATTATTCTTTTATATTATGGTGGTTGGCGTTGGAATAGCAGGTATTTGAAGTAATTGATGAATCAAGTAAAAAATGCTAGTTTTTAGTTCGTTATCAAATAACTGCTAGGTTTTGCATATCATGTAGAGCAAGGACAGAAAATAGTTTACCTGATAGCTACATACCAACGTTAATATCGAAAATATAATAGGAGGAATTGTATACAATGTCAATAAAATTGATTGATCAACTCTTGAAAAAAATTTCTAAAAAACTTCGGTGTCGTATTAATTCCTATGATAAATTTAACTACTGGAAATTGTACAACTAATTGCAATTTAGTTTCTTTATGATATATTGTTTGTATTGAGCGATTAGAATAAGATATTGAAAGATACAGTATATGTGAGGAAAAAATTATTGTTATTAAAAACGTTTTCTAGTTGTTAATAAACTTTCACATATTGGTCCACCAATCGATAAATATAGGTATTGCAATTAACATTTTTTCTGAAAAACCCAGAATCTATAACACTGTATAACACAATACTTGTTCCTGGCTTCTAATTATTATTTTCTCGTAGGTGACGCCCCAAACTTGAAAAAAAGACCCAATTTTGTTTTAATGTCATTTTTTATTTAAATGGTTGCGGTTTTTCTAAATCATTTTTTTAAAAGAACTGTTGTAATACAAAATGAAAAAAAAATTTTTCAGCATGACATTGGCTGGCGCTATTTCTTAGTACTTTTGATATTCCAGAGATGTATTCCTTGTGAGGAAAATAACTTTTAGCGTTTTACCCATTGTTTGATCATTGTACTGTTATTGGTACCAAACGTATATACAATTCAATATATGCCTCGATAGTATTTGAAAGGGCAAATTTTAAATGCAACAGTGACATCAATATTTGGCCGAGACCAGTTGTTGTAAGGTCCCATTTGGCGTTGTTTTTACATCCGAATAATTCAGTTTTTAGTAGTACTAAAAAACATCAATTTAAAAATGTGTCTGTGTTAATTCCTTCAAACTTTCTGTCATGGAATATAAGAAATACATCTCTGAAATATAAAAAAAACACCGAGATATAGTACTAGACTATGTTATACTAAAAGTTTTATAGTGTTTTATGTCACAATGTCCCACAAAATAATTTGAGGGGGTTCCCCATTTATTCGAAATTTAAAAAAATAAAATAATGTGATTATATAAGATAGGCAACGAGCTGAAAACAACAAAAAAATTTGTTACACGGTGTAATATAACTTTTGAATCTTTAGGAAACAGTTTGTCCATTCTTATTTTAACGAGGAAACGAACACGAAGAAGAAAAGTGTTATCAGAAGCCTATAGGATATATCTTGTTGCATTAGCGATTGCAGACAATGGACTCCTCTTTTTTACGGCGTTTATAAGGTAATCTTTCTTTTAATTCGACAACGGCTACACTAAACATGTATATTGATATATCTCCCAGAATGTATTGGGAAGAGGTTGTATAAAAATAAGAGCGTCTTGGAAATAATAATCTGACCTTTCAAACGCGATAGGCTGGCAAGAGTATTTCCATTTTGTTGAAAAATAAAATTGTGTATGGTATATTTCACAATATTGTCTTGAACAACATTCCACGCAAACAACCAGTCATACATAGAACGCTATACTATACTGAAGAAACAGGTTGAAGTAACATGCACAGTTTTATCGCATTCTGGGTATGTTGTGAGCATATGAGCCCTTTATAATTCAAATCAGCAATTTCGTTTTTAACAATCGCTTCAGGTAACGTATTGTATCAATAGTTCAGAAAGATGGAATAAAACCCCCAACAAATAAATTTGAACACGATACAATTTCATTTTAGGTATACGTTGATACCTTGGATATATGATTCGAATTACGGTGGCTTTTATGAGATATATATATGTCGATGGCATCGATTTTTGATGCATTTTTTTCACAATGCATCGGTGTGGTTGCTTGTTACAACCGCATTAGATAGATTTTTTGCGGTATGTTTTCCTATATCATATCAAAGAGTTAGTCGTAAAGCAACATACGCAAAGAAAGTGAGTAGATGTTTAAATTGTTTTATAATTTTTTCATTGATAATGCTTAGAGAAAATAATTCATTGTCAGTTTTAATTCTCGTCAAATCACAAATTTATATAATTTTTGATAATTAGGATTGAATTCCGCCCCTTGTGCCTAGAATCACGAACTATCCCCATAACTTATATAATATTGTGCACAATATATTATTTCCAAATCGATGTTTAAGTGTAAAAGTGTGATCATTTTTATTAATAAATCTAGAAACATTTCATTTTTGTTTTATAGTTTACTGCAGCGACAATAATAATTTCAATTGTGTGCGCTTCTCCTTTCCTGTTGACTGGACCTGTATATGAGAATGTTGTCCAGCATGATATTCCAGCACTACAATTGTCTTCAAGAAATTTGAGCGAAAAACGTATAGAATTATATAGAACAAAAACCAAATTTTCAAATTATGACAACACTTCCATTTTTCGCTTGTATAGTGGACAGAATGGAAATTTAATAAATTTCCCAGTATCCGATGCACAAGTAGAAAGTGTTTTGGAAATTAGCTTCCCACAAAAACCACTCTATAGTGAGTCAATAACGGATACGATGGAAACTGTTCGTCGAAGGTAAAACGCAGATTATCAACTTTTTTTGTCTAACTTTTCATTCGATGTATTGGATAGTAAAAAAGATAAAACATCGCGTCACGCTAATAACCGAATTGCGTAAGTCATTTTTTGGCGATTTTGAGTTTTTTATAAAATAGGTATTTATGTAATGTTGCGCACCTGTCTGTTAACTCAGATTTTATTTTAAGAATTCTGAAACCCATAAAAATGGAGATTTAGTATGACATACACATTTGTGCAATTGTTTCGTCATAATGAATTATCATTCTTACCGCAGAACTATTGTGACGTCACAAAGGCAAAATAATCTCGGCTAAGTATTTTCGAGTTTTTGCATCTCGGATTCTAGCTTAGCGCGTATTAATTTGAATTTATACTACAGTATAGACCTGCACTTGTGATATTCACTGTCCGAGTTCAATTCCCCTTGGTTGGCTTTTATATTGGGTACAATTCTGTTTTATTTTTTATATTCAATCTTAGTCTTATTTCGGTGGGTGTGCAGAACGTGTTATATTGCTGAAATATATATTTTCAAACATAAAAAATAATGTAATTGAAACTGATTAGCTATTTCGGGGATTAGACATTGTAGATACTGAGAATTACATTCGTTTTTGGAATGTTTAGTTTTCAGGACTGGTGCATATAGTAAAGTTGCAAAATTGCGTATGTCTCCAAGTTATAGACACATTTCTGCCTAAGTCACAGTGCGCCATTATGACGTCACTTAACTGCGTCATACAAATTAACTTAAATCCGGCTACGATCAAAAAATTAAACCATGGCAAATTATTGACTCTCAATGGCATAACAATATCATTAGGAAGTTTTTTACGTTTTTCTCAAACTGCTAAAAATGACTTAAGCAATTCGGTTATTAGCGTGACGCATCGTCTTGCTCTGAGCCAATTAAAATAGCACATGCGACTGGTGACGAAACTATAGTAACCCTCCACTCAGGATTAAAATGGAACTTTGACAAAACCAATCAACGACATACTTTTTTCCTACCGGAATTTAAATAAATTGGTACAGAGGGTAAAATATCTCATTGAACTTCATCTTCGGTTGTGCAGTGGGTAAATATTACTACCGCGGTACGTGCTGATTCAATAAATACATTTTTGAAAATATAAGTTCAAGAATGAATTTGGATTTCGTATTTACGGCATCAAGCACATCAACAGTCGTGCCCGAAATGTCAGCTGCCAAATGTCGTGTCCCAATCAGTCACTTTGACGAATATTTACTGAAATTGGATTTGATTAAAAATTGGATTGAAAAAAGATAGGCAATAAATTTGTTCATTCTTTTTCAGAAAGATAGCTGGATGCTCTATGATGGCAGTACTGCCAGAAGACGTTGCCTACCTTATCAACGTTATTTTTCATGTTGCGTTCGCAATAGTTGCCCCATACTTTTTCTTAACTGGATTGAACATGGCCATTCTATATCGGATACACGTAATAAACCCGTTGCAAAAATTTCGACGACGTTCTAGATCAAACAGGCGAATTACGGTAATTATAAAGTTTATTATCAATTTTTCTTTCAGATTTTTTCGGATTTTTAACTTTTAATTATTATCATTATATTATATAAAAGTCTATATTCACAACAAACATTGCTTATGTTGTCGGAATAACCATAAACAATCAAAAAAATCGTAGAAGATAGATATACACTTCCGTTCACTTTTACATTTATCATAATGTTGTCACTTGAATTGCTTCGTAAACTTCAATTCTAAATACTATTCAGACAAGGTTTGTGCAATATCATGTAAAATAACACCTGTTACTGTCATTTAGTTTACCGAAACTATTTTATTGAAAATACCGCATATTGTGTTTAGATAATGATGCTGACAGTATCTTTCGTTTTTATCGCCCTGTGGCTGCCACAAGTTATTATGCTGTTACTGCACTCGGACGCCCATTCAGATTCCTGTGAAACCAACGTTTATCTGTCTTCGTTTGCACACATAAGCGCATACTCTAATTCAGCGTTGAACTTTTTTCTCTACTGTATGACAATTGATAAGTTTCGAATTGCTGCCCGTCAACTTATCTGTCGAACTAACAGTTATGCAGATGATTTCAGATCAACAGTTCGTTCAGAAATTAGCATTGTCGGCCGAAGTGAAGATGATAAAGTTGTTCAGAATATCAGATTATTGTGGAGAAGAAAATCTAATTGTAAAACTGGAAAAATTGGATGACCTGGTCAAAATTGACGACTTGTTGATTTTGAAGTGTTTGGAAGTTTATTAGGAACCTGGTATTTATATTGATATAGAATGGAAAGAAATAGGCTAAAGGAAACAACCTTCTAAAAGTGAACGCATCCATCTGTTGCACAGGTCGTATTTTGTCGAAGTGCTGCATGCAGGAACTTACAGGTTACTAAGTTACTATCCTAGTGTCTCAGCATAATCATACCATATCAATTAAAAGGTCATATTTTTGATTAACAGTTGGTTGTGAAGATGGTTATATTATACCAAACGCCATTCAAACAGTATTCCGAGGCGGAGAGTGTTATAAAACTTGTTTTGTGCTCAAAATTCACACAAATAATATTAAATAAATCAGTGCACTTGAAAGACTGTCGTTTGTTGTGAATTACAGATTTTAGTAACGACATCACTGACTAGCAGAGACTTTTTCCGAGGCTCTTTCGTTTAAATATAATTCACGACTATCCGCACGAAAAGTAGAATGTCATAGGTATTTTGTCAATGACACAGCAACATAGCGCAAAATCACAACAAACAAAGGGACACATGCGAAACGAAATGAAGTCAGCTAATTAGTCGCCGATACCGATATGCCGATATTTAAAAAAGCCGATATTCTGATAATATGTTATTATGAAGTGTGCAGAGCAGACGGGTTAAAATAATAGTCTGTGCGCATTATTCACAGTGCACATTATCTGAGCTTAAAGACTTCCAGGGCATTAATTGATTCAGATGCATCGTGCACAGACGCTAGTAATCTCGGTGTTCAATTAGAAAACCTATAGGGTTCGGCTACTATAGGTGGTTAAAAAAATAAACATTTACTCAATGCGACCCATTTTCACCGCTCGCGACTTATACTCTGGAACCACTGTGATGTGTAATTGGTGAGGAGTGTTTGTATGGTGTTCCTTTCATTAAATCCTGCATTCAACAGAAAAAACTTCTGTAAGCACTTTGATTCACCATAGCCGCAGCTCCGAGAATAAAAAGCCGCATGCGGCTCCGGAGCCGCAGGTTGCCGATCGTTGTTGTAGTGTATTGCTGGTCGACTTGACACAAAAGTTTTTAAAGTCTGTCAATCGCATAATTTACGATTTTATACGAGGCTCCAATAGGGAGAGAATCAAAAGAAAGACAATGGTGGGAGTAATACAACAATGAGGAATGAACATGATTGATGTTCATAGTTTTTGTACAGCTCAAAGAATTGATTGGCTTAAAATTTTCATAACAGATGATAGGAATCCCTCATGAAAGAAGATTGAACTAAATTATGTAGGTGATACATTGATACCCTTGCTAAAAGGTGGAAATTGGAATTCCTATATTATGAAAATTATTCATTTTGTTCATGGGAGAAATTTTGAAGAACTGGTATTATTGCAAGAAAACATTGTTTGGTTATAAAATATTGAATTATCATAACCAAGCAATATCGTACAATAAGACGATTGTTCATAGATGAAAGCCATTTTTTTCAATCATGGTAGAATGAAGTTGTGTTTAAAGTTATGGAAAACAATTGTTACGAGGAAATATATACACTGTATGATCAATTGCACCTAAAACAATTTATTCCACCAATAAATGTTAAAAAAAACAAAAGTCGTATCAATTTCTCCTTTACCAAGTTGGATTTTATAGACTATTGTCAAAATTTCTCTGACCATATTTGTAGAAATACGTAAACATAACAAAAATTGGGGATTTCTTGCATTATAATGAGATGAAAATTGCAATCAGTGTATCTTATGCACAATTACTACTTTTTGTCTGTATTGTTATTGATTAACATTGTTTATTACCTATCGATTTTAATCGGTAAGTATGTTGATAGGTATTTGTCTGTCTGTATGTATGTCTGTTAGATGCACGCGATATCTCACGAAAGCGAGATCGAATCTGCTCCAGATTTTGCATGTGCATTCATCTTAGCACCAGAAGCCTATTGATTTTGGGCGAATTATGTCGTATAATTAGCGAGTTATCAAATAATTAGTGATGGGACACAAGGTATCACTATGGAGTAAGAGCGCTGTTTTGGGATCCCCTAACTTTCGATCGATAAGTCTTCGGTCTCTGACCGATATTCTCGTTGCAATATTGTTCATTATGATAAATTACTTTTGTGTCTGTGTTGTTTTTGAATAATATTGTTTTTCATGAAAATCCTATAAAAAAAAATAATATAGCCTTCTAGCGACAACAGCAATCTTTAACCACTGAGAATTTTAAAGCAATCGGTCCAGTAATTCAAGAGAACAGCGATTTTTTGTAACAACAAAAAAAAGAATACTAACAACAACATATAGCGATCTATAGATCCTAGTTCCATGTCATGTTCAAGCTGACAATCAATAATGTCAGAAACGGGATGCATGCACAAGACCATACTAACCTAGAGCATAATAATAGTTCCCTGTAACGCTTATCAACGCTACAATCAAGTTGTAAAATTAATGCCTTAGTGGGAACTACAAAAATACGGGTTACCACATTACTCGAAAACGTATTAGCATGATGATCCTGCTGGAACTACTAACACGATACTGTATCCTGTCATCGATCATATTGAACCAATTACACGCCTTGAAAAAGAAATTTTGTATGCAGTATGAAGCCGGCGAGGGGAGTTTCTTTCCCAGCAAGTATCTTGGTGATATGCATGTAACTACCGATACTGTGTATAGCGGCCTAGCCTAATGTATTCCCACGTTCAATTACAAATATATATAATCAGGACTCTAAGTGGAGCCATGTACTCAAATGCAGCCATGAGGCCGCAAACTATTTTATTCTTGCCGCGACCCGCACATTAAATAACATATATATATATATTACTTTTGTGAAATATGACGAATGATTAGAATGAGTGGTTCGAGCAGTAATAAAATATAAACTGCGTAGAAGTTCATTTCTCCAGCTAGTGCGAAACCTGTCATTTACCAACTTTTCAATATCGACTTTTTTTTTTTTTTTGATAGCGTACAAGGCAATTGATTAGTTACATTTTCGTTATTGGGCCAGCTCCAATTCGACCATTTTCAATTTTGAATAGGAAGAATCACAATATAGGTTATCCCTATTGCCTGCGCAAAATATATTGTCATTTTTCTTAGAATGGGAAACTTTTCCTGAAATTCGGCGGCAGGTCGCTAGAGGGAATTAAAGGAGTGGAATCAGCCTGAAAATAAGGGAGTGGATACTGAGACTAAAAATAGACGTTACAATATATATACTAAGAATAAAACAAAAATTGCCATAAATTGGTTTTAGAGCCCGGCGGTGAATAAAAGAAAATGGGCATTTTGGTAAATTGCGGAATGTACCTTAGTCCCTGAAGAAGGAACATTTAATTGTGTGCGCGATGCACCTTCTCAATCTTAATCATTCCTAAATCACTGTCGGGACCGGGACCCCACTTTTCCTCTATCGGTCGTGAATTAATTATTTTGCGCATCAGAAAAATAATCATCAGCTGAAAAATTGTCTCTTTTAACGAGTGGCGTAATCGTGGTGACTGTTCTAGAATTGCTCCAGGTGTTTAGGAATTGCCTATTTTTAAAACCCCGCCTCTTTTGAAAATCGTGGATCTCGTCAAGATTACTGTTTTCTGGCTGATGGAGGAAAAAAAATTATTACAGCTTAAAATCATACTTTAAAAGAGGGCATATTGCATAGAAATTTACTCCAAGCAAGATCATGCGCAGTCACTTTTAAGTGTAAGAAACTTAGGAGACCAATCAAATGTCACAATCGACTTAAAAACATTCTCAAATCAGATAACCGATATTGATGTGACTTGAAATGCTCGCTGAACTGTGGTCACAAGCACTCAAGCTCGTTGATTGATGCTTCGTCCGCCACACATATCCATTCATCTGAGACATTGGGCTACCTTATTTTCCAATACTAGTTCAATATCCCCTATCATTCTTGTAACCGCACGGGGAAAACCTGGGTCGTAATATTTTCAGGTCTATTATTTTAGTTTATCCCTTCCCTGGGAGATGATAAAATTTGAAAATTAATATTGATTCACAGTTGATGCTAAATAGGATAATATATTATATAATAATATAATAAAATAATAGCATTACACATATTTTGAAACATTGAACGAAATTAACATAACTATTGACCCATTTTCAAACAGCTTGATGAAAAATAACTTGTGACAGTGCAATGCTAATAGATAATTACAGACATGTGAAAGTAGTAGTATAGTAGATATATTGCAAAATACCCTTCATTGTTGACAGATAAGGCTAAGCTCTATAATCATGCTTGCCAACTTACCCTACGAGAGTTCGAATCCCGGGCACTAGCGATACTAAATAACAACAAATTTTCAAATGAGATACAGCACTTCAACGAAATCCTTGGTATACCATCATGGGGAATAATTATGTGTATGATATACGCTGGGTCCATAAATCTCATAGTGTTCATGTGGCCACCGGTCAGAACACCTTCATCTAATATCAAGACCATACACATGAAAGAGTAACTTGTCAACCATTCCTGTTTCCACTAGCAACAGGGCGAAAGGCTGTGGTTTGCCATCTGGTTAAGTCATCTCCCTTTTCATTGGGACAAACTCAGCAAACTATTAAATAGACTCTTTTCTACACATAACTGTATTAACAGAAGTAGTTTAGTTTTCAATTTTGATCCATTCAGTTGATTTGTTTCTTTTTCCGAGCACAACATGCCAACAGCACTTGCTGTCATATTTTCATCGTCCACATTCTCAAAAAATCTGGTGTAAATAATCATTTTCTTTTTGTGAGATCATCAATCATTGCACGCATTCTTTGCTTATTTTTTCTGTTAGCATTCCCAACTGTAGATGATGCACTACAGCTGGTTAATGCGGATAACTGTTTTTCTGAATATTCCGGATGATCTTTCATCCATTCCTCTAAATCTTTAGCAGTAAGATAATATGCCTTGATATAATTTTCGACAAACTCTTTACCTGGTGCAGGTCGAACTCCTGTGATTTCTTCAGCTTTAAGTAGAAACTGCTGGAAGTCCAATTGCATCAATGCTCGTCCTTCATTGCTGCACTTCTTAACATTAGAGAAACCCTCAACAAAAGTTTTGCCCGACATACCAATGCAATGTTGCCAAATTATCTTTTCTATTTCATCCGGAAATGGCATGTCATTCGCAGCTGAGGAGAATCCAGACTTCAATAATTTGAAATGATGTAACAAGGCATCAACATATTTGCTATGTTGTGACATTATTTCTTTTAGATCCCATTTAACTTCGGCCATTCCACTCAAAATAGAATTATAATCAATTGATCCGGCCCCAACAGTAAAATAAACCAGTGATCGCACTTCGGCGCAAGTACTTACAGTCTGGGCATAAAATTGTTGAAGAAATGCTTCTTGACTTGATGGTATGACTTTTCTTAAAGTAGGTTGTAAATATTGAAATTGAGCAGCTAAGTTCATAAGTGATTCTGTAGCTGTTATTCTATGAGGGAGACCAAACATAGTTGACCTCTGCTTGAGATTCACAATAGGAGAAAGAGATGGAAGGGGTACTTTTGTGGTTGTATTTTTTTCTTCTGCATCAAATTCTTTTCTAATTAATTCACTCTTTATTCGACTCAAAGTGGTATATAGTTTTTTGCTGCATCCAGGTATGCCAGGTTCATGAGCGGCAAACACATCATAAATAGAGATTAGGTAGTAATCGAATAAGTGTGACATGCATATTATAACATCAGTGGCAATCGGCTTGAGAACATCACACATTCTAAGATATTTGCCACAAGTTCTTAAGGTATTAAGAGCAGTGTTAGTTAAAAGCGGTCCAACTACTTTGTTTTCTTTGTGACTGATGACATCGTCATCATCAACATCTTCCTCAATATAATCAAATAATAGTTCATCATCCATTTCATTGTCATCTATGCTATGAGAATGTGTTTTGCCATTAACATTTGTTTTGTCATCTGATTTTCCAGCAAATTCTTCAAATGGATGTCTTTTATTATCATTATAATTAAAAAACATATTTTTGCTAGATTTTTCTGAATGTTTCGTTCCTGAGGACTTTATGATATCTTTGTAGTTTGCCTCATGCAAGAACTTGAACTCTGGCAATTGCATCACAGAAAAGTTCTTTTGTATTGGGCAAGCTTCCCAAGCTTCATTGTCAAGAAACATGTGCATTTCCTCTAACGACTTTTTATGATAAGCTCGGAAGTAACGCAAACTTTGTTGGTATATTGGTTCATGTAAGGTTGAACCAAAATTGTCTTTCTCAGGGTTGTCACCACTTCCACAAAAAGTTGCACCGACCAATATGAATTTATTGACAATTCCAACAACTTTTATAAATTCATCATATTTAAAACTGGACAGATCAATACCAAGAAGTAGACTTTTTATTCTGGATTGGACATCCAACCATATTCTATGACGTCCATGCTCAAGCTTACGTGTAATATACTTATTATCAATCTCTTCATCAGAAATCTTAGTATCATCAAATTCCGAAAATTCCTCACTATGCCAAAGTGAGACTTTATGATAACAATACATTATAGTCCACAATGCTTTACATAATGCAAGCAAACATGGTATATAAAACGATGAATCAACAATGGAACAAAGATCATTGAATTGTTTCTTTTGAAGATTAGCATCTGGTTCCTTTGTACATAGTTGTACATAACCAAGAAGAGTTTGAAATGCAATATTATGTATGCAAGTAGTGAAATGCATAAGCAATTGGTCAACGGCTGTTTGCCTTTTACCAAGAAGCTTGTAACCAACTTGAAGTTTTTCATACATTTCAGAATCAAAATGGTTGCACATTTTCGAAAGGGCAACATCTATTTGTTCTTCAATTTGTTCAATTGTATCTTGTAATTTAGAAGATAAGTCTTTAATGCAATTATACTGTCCATAGGCGACAGCAACCTTCTGGCATTCTAAACACAGCTGTATTGCTTCTGGGTAGTTCTCTTCTTCCATCAGCTCTCTCAGCCTAACATCTGTATGTTCCAGAGTTTTTATTGTGTTCAATGCATCATGCAAAGCTATTAAATTTTTTCTATGTTGAACATGAACAAGAAGTCTCAAATTAACAAAACTTGTGACAGATAGCAAGTGTTTTTTGCCGGCACAGCAAGTAGAAAATCCTATTTGAAGATCTTTCTGTAAATCCCGTACTCGCTGTAGTTCTTTCCGATAAGCAGGCTGATTTTCAAGAATAACATCTGAAAGTTTTTTAGAAACTGCACTCAATTGATTGTGCAGCTTTTCACACATTTCATGAATCAACTCTTGTGTAGGATGGTCTGGGAGTCTCTTGACGTCAATAATATTGCCATCCGTGTCTGGATTAAATACAGCATCATCAATGGATTGAATGGTTTCTGCTTGAAATGTTGGATTGCTTAAAATTCTTGAGGGAAGTACAGTTGTTCTTTCTACCGTATGAGGATGAATTTCATCATCTTTCTGTTTTGCACCAGGAGAAGAAATACCAACTTGATCAATTAGATTTTTTATTCGTTTCATGATCAACCAATCCTAAATATGATTAAATGTCCTGTATTTAATAGAATAATATGAAATTCACCTGATTCATTTTAAAAGTGTCCCAATACAGCAATGCTGCAATGTGACATTCCAAGGCCAGAAGGCCTGAAAACAGGCAAAAAGAAATCAACTGCCAACAAATTAATACGTTGAATTAATACGTAAAAGGCCTTGTTCAACATAATAAAAACATGCACGGTATTACTATGTATCCGGTTACATCTACCGGTACCGGTATAAAACGCAACTCGAATGAATGGAAATGTGATTTCATAAAAGTTGTTGCCATACGGTACCGTATCTGTGTATCTGCATATCGGTAGATACGGTAACTGGATAATTTGTTTGCCTGTCTCAACCCACGGACTTTATGGACCGTAAGGTACCGTATCGGTATAGGGTTGCCAACTTTATGTTGAACCGGAATGTCTAGATTCTAGAATTTGAAAATTGATGCAACCTTAATTGAATACTAATACTTAATGCAACAGAAGCTTGTGAAACACGAAGCACGTAAAGAGCAACAGTACGGTACGCGCTGCGTGCCGTGCAGCTTATTTTCACAAACTGTAAATAATTTTATCATATGTGAAATGTTGACTCTTTGACGCATAAATGCAAAAAAATCTAAAAAGGGGAGTTGTACAATTTGTGCTAAGCAGATTAATTATTTAACAAAAATCACAACAAAATCCAGTCTTTCTGGTATTTAAATTCGTATTTTTATTGTGATTTTGCCGCTTTAACCCTAGGGAACCCACGTAACACCCCTGCTGCACGATCTTTTGGAACCTGTAGAAATAAAATGTTTCGACCCCTAAGGCCCATGGACCTTTCCCCGAGCATCGACTTCCTTGTTTACTTCGTGACATTGGCCAATCAGCAAATTGCAAAAAGTGACGTAACAATGCCCCCCTTTCGCATCCGCTCAGACACTTTTCTCACTCAGACAGATTTTCAAGCGTGGTCGTAAACATTACCTCGTTTTCGCATTTTTGAACTCTATTCGTTAGTTTTCAGTAGTGTTTTGGAAACTTAAATGTAAATCAGATAATTCAATGGTCACCCTGTCTTCCTAGGAGTTTTAATTTAATTGCAGTAATAAAAATTAGTGTAGAAATAGCTGTGATAGACTAGGCTAAAATTCTTTAACGGTACTTTTAAAAAAAACAGATTGTTGTATGCTATGAATAATGATGGTTTGAAACACATAACCCATTTCACAGGCGCCAACTCGCAAAAGCACTCTTGAAATAGCCCCGAAAATTTTGCAATGGTGAAGTATAAGAAGAATTTTCCGGGGGTCAAAGGTCGGTGAAAGGTCCATTGAGGTGTATATATACACCTCAATGCTAAGGCCCAATGTTACTCAATAGCACAGCTTTTGTGCACCGATCGGCCGGTTAGGTGGCGCTCCAGAGGATTGTTTATCATGGTGTGTGGTATTTTCGACAAGATCCTGAGAAGCCTGGAAACATCGGTCATAAATGAAGAACGCCGATTGGTGTCAAATAAATGGTGAGTTGGCTTCTTAGTTACTTTGATATAGATTACTATGTTGTATGAATTGAGAATCTAGAGTGAATACTGACCCGACATACGATGGTCTACATTTGATGCATCACAGTTGTCACATCGGGACTAGTTATACAATTGGAGTAAATAGAATCGGATAGGATTTTACATATTTATCCCGGGGGAGAAGAAAGCCGATAAGACGGCTTATTCATATGGCGAACCACGGCCTCTCGTCCGGTTACCTTTCCAAGTCGGGTATGGGATTAGTTATATTGTTTTTCGGAAGCATGGACTTGGTGGTGGAGGAAGCCGTAACCGACCAGCAGTTACGTGAACCACCCAACGACGGCGAGGAGTCCAGCAATCCTCTCGCTCATAACCATCCCTGCATGGGATTCGAACCCACGCAGAGTAATTAGAGGTGCGGTGGCGAGCGTATTCCTAACGCTTAGCCCGTTGAGCCACACCGCCGCGCCGAATCTGCATGTGACACCGGTGACACAATAATTGCACGCATTCACATTATAGCCTTAAACTGCCCTTTTTCTTGCTTGGTCAGGTCACTAACCGTATCTATACTTTTTTCTAGAACATGGCATCGATTGGGTCAAGCAGCTCGCGGTGAACTGGAATTGCAAGAGTGTACAATGCTAATGATATTCTTGTCATTTTGAACTGTGATGACAATGATGTGGAGGCACTAGTAGTGGGTCAGATAGTGAATACGATATCAGAGAAGACAAAAACAACGGCTCCCAGGTTCATAATATTTTCAAATAATGATTACATAGTTTTTTTTCCTAAAGAAGCATTACACAACTGCTTACGATCAACAGACACCGAAAATATTTTCTGAAAAATAACTTTCTCACTCATTGATCGAAACAATAAATAATGTTTTTTTGTTTGTTTGCATTTCGTGATATTTCATTTTACAGGTTGAGTCCGAAAGTTCTGACGACGATGTTCCTTCCTTGACAAGTCTACGAGTGCAAAATCAAAAACAAAAGCCAAATAAATAATGCAACCGACGGCAATCAGTTTCGGTGGAGAAAGAAACAATTCAATAGACCCGATGCAACATCAGACGATGGGACAGACGAACGAAACAGCATGTGCACATAGCCATGCCTGCTATCGTGCAAGAATAGAATAAGTTTATGGGAGGTATTGATAATTTGGATTCATTTCTTGCAAAGTACAGGTTTCGAATGAAATCAAAAAGATGGTATCTTTATCTCTTTTGACATTTTATAATGGTGGCTATTGTGAATGCATAGCTCTGGTACCGTCGTGATTGTGCCCTGCTCCATCTTCCAACTTCATATATTATGAAACGGCGACATTTTCAAGCAGCAGTCGCAAGCGCTTTGATCTATGTCAATACTGACACCCGTCGCGGGAGACCCTCGTCTGAAGTTGAAGAAATTCGCAGCCCCGCAAGGAAAATATCCAAGGCCCCATGTGAAGATATCCGACGAGACAAATACGCACACTGGCCAATGAAAATTGAGAAAAGGATAAGATGCAAATTGTGTGAACGCAATCAAACAAATACCAGCTGTTCAAAGTGTAAAGTGAAACTTTGTTTTGTCGAGGGCCGCAATTGTTTTTGACTTTCCACGCCTGAGGAATTGGAACAATTAGTTATATTCTCAGGGAATCGTTTCTGCAGTTTTTTAAGTTTTTATTTCATGCTTGCTTTATGCGCAAATGATTCGCCGATATTGCTCTTTGAGTTCGCTCGTTCAATGTTGGAATAAAAATGTGAGACTTCAACTTGTTTTGACTAAATTTTTCACACTTGTATACAGTGTAAGTCCCGTTGTAACACATATGCCGCATTTTCAAAGTGGGGTTAAATGAGGTCAAAGGTCAAAATGAGATAAATATTTGTTCAACATGGTCAAATGGACTACGAATCCCAAATATCAGATTTTTCCTTCAACTCTATCATTGTCAGGGCCCCCCGGGGTTAAGAAGATTTTTGTTAGTTATAGTCACTTTGGTTTTCACAAAGTTTATGTTAAAATTTGTAATCCTTACGGAAATATAATAATAATGAACTCTCGCTAAGACAAGAGCTGTCAGCAAGGTGTCCTAAAACAGACGGCTAAATTAAATTTTAGCAAATTAAACATTAAATTTTTCAACAAATCTCACCAGATTGAGTGTTTGATCCTCTCAAAATAGCCTATTTTAGTGTTATTTCATCAGGAGGTCAAAGTTGACAAAACATGTCTTATCCACAAATTTTAACTCACTCCCATTTGAATGAACCATACAGATGTAATCGTTTAATGGAAAAATATATTTGCGTGAATTACACCCGTTTCCAGTTTTGAAGCCGGCACACTTACAATGGTCTCCTATTTTAGAAAGCCTTTGTTGTCGTTAAATTCTGGGACGGTTGGTAGCCCTAAACGGGTAACACGGTTTGATTTTCAGTCGCTTTGGGAGTTCTTTAAAAACAATAATATACAAATACTTGTGGACTTAAGTATAAGTATATTTCGACCTCATAATCAGCATAACAGACAATATAATGATTGATAAAAACAAGAAAATAAAAACTGACTATGAAATCGGGGGAGCAAACAAAACCGTAGAAAAGGTTTAAAACGTAGCCTACAGAATAAGATGGAAGGTTTTGCCAAAAATAAGTGGTATTCTACGGTGCGTGCTCATTCACCAAAAAATATTAAACTCATCCACACACACACGCACCCACATACACCGACAGAGATATTATAAAGTAAGAAAAACGCGACAAGCGTAAGATAAACACATACCAGTAGTAAACAAAAATATAATAATAAATAAATGAATAAAAATTACCGCAATACCAGTCAGCCAGTAGGACATTTTGGCATAGTTTGGTTTGTACCGGTACTCGTGATGATACTGTGATCAATATGGCCATTACAGTGGCGTAGCCAGCCCAAAATTTTGGGGGGGGGCCAAATTTGAAAATTTTAGAAATTATATTGGGTTTAAAACACCCGTTCTTCAAGCGCAAAACAACAACAGTTGGTCAACAAGCAAACTGATTCAATTACTCAGCTGGATTTTTGTGAATACAAAATCCATTAATAAACAATTTTTTATTTGAAACAACAAATATTAACAACGCAATTTGAATAAGTAAAATACATCGCCCCGATTAAAAGTCCATCCTCCGCTTCCCGCTAACTATGCTCGACACAACTCGATTAATTTTCTCCTCGGTGACCATTTCACGGTGACAGTGAAGCACACACAAATCAGAAAGGCGATTGGACGTCATTGATGAGCGCAGCCATGTCTTTACCCGTTTCATGCAGGAGAAAGACCGCTCAGCCTCAACGGTGGTTGCTGGTAGCGTCATAACGATCTGTATTGCGGTGTTATAGGATATTGGGTAATTTTGCTGCTTTTGGTTAAGTTACGTGTTTAGACTTAAAGTCATACTAATCTTAAAATTAGAAGCAATCTCTCAGTCATAAAATACGTAACAATTAGACGTCCTGTAAGGTACGATGACGATAACGAGTCATGCCCTAAGGATACCAAAACCAGCATAAAAGCGACCAATCGTTAGGAGAGAAAAAAAAGGGATAACGATGGACAAGTAATTAACGAACTCGGGCTTGCAGTGAAACTTTGATTTTGTCTGGCTTATCAGTCATGACTTGGAACTGTTCTTTGTATTTGTAAATATACAATTGCAATATATGTATTCGGTACCAGGAGTATGTCTTCTTCATAAGATCAGATCAGAAACAACAGCAATACAGAAAGTGTAGCAAAAATATAAATGTTCCCTAAAAATGGTATCCCCGACAGACGAACCAGCGCCTTTCTGAGATGGAGTCTGAAAAGCAACCGTTGGAACTAAAGGTGACCCCAAAGACATCAACTCCACAAGCAAGCCGAGGATAAAAAGATCAAGGAAAATGAAAAACAACCACCAAACCAAGATTCAGACAGTATGAAAAATCAAGGAATTACAAGCGAAATACCAAAGACTCTGACAAAAAGAAAAAGACTGTTAGATTTAAAAGGTGTATGAGATTCACATTATATGGACTGTTATAAAAATATGTGTGTAAAACATTCACACTATATGAACTGTTTTACACCAGAAAAAAAACCGTAAAATCAAAAACTAGTCGGAACTCTTGACTACAAAAACAAATGAGAAAGATATGAAACGAAAGAACTTCAGAAAGAAACGCCCGCGAACCAACTTCAAGAAACCGCGCGATTGTAGCATTTTATATTGTACTATAAATATTTCAATTTCGTGTACAAAATGGACAGACATTCTTCTCCTTCTTCACAGGTATTTCACGTTTCCTTCTTTCTAATCTTTAAGGCGTTCTATATTTGGTATTAAACCCAACGAGGTTTACTCAAAAATATTTAATTTATTCGATTTTGGCAGATATTAGCATTCGTTTTCTTTAAATATACTTTACGTTGACTTTAACATTTTTTTCAAAATTTGATTTCATATACGATCGTATTTCGAATCAGCGCTTCAGGATGTATTTGCATAAACGCAAGTGAAATCCTCATTTTTTTATTTTTAAACGCCCAAAGAGGCTCATCACAATTATAGCCGGAAAGGCTCATCAACGCAACACGCGTATACTTTTATTTTTTTCAGCGCTTCAAAATTTATTAATGTGAAACGAAGTGTATTAAAGCTAAGCATTGGTAGTAATCTGTCACCTAAATTATAAAATTAAACCAACGCCAAATCTTTTTCTTTCCATACACTGTATAACACACACACATTCTGTCTCATAATCATAATTTCAACTTTCTTATGTTTTTATGAATCTTGTTGCATTTTGTGTATTGTTTTTCACTGCACGCCCAAGCTTGGCCACTGCTCCGCAGCTAAAGTAGGTGCATAGTATAGGATATTGGGTAATTTTGCTGCTTTTGGTTAAGTTACGTGTTTAGACTTAAAGTCATACTAATCTTAAAATTAGAAGCAATCTCTCAGTCATAAAATACGTAACAATTAGACGTCCTGTAAGGTACGATGACGATAACGCGTCATGCCCTAAGGATACCAAAACCAGCATAAAAGCGACCAATCGTTAGGAGAGAAAAAAAGGATAACGATGGACAAGTAATTAACGAACTCGGGCTTGCAGTGAAACTTTGATTTTGTCTGGCTTATCAGTCATGACTTGGAACTGTTCTTTGTATTTGTAAATATACAATTGCAATACATGTATTCGGTACCAGGAGTATGTCTTCTTCATAAGATCAGATCAGAAACAACAGCAATACAGAAATAATAGCAAAAAATATAAATGTTCCCTAAAGTGTACACGCTTGGATAATCTCGAGCGCTCAGAAGAAGCCCCTCCAAACATTCGTCGTTAACGTCGGAACTTAAAGAAGTTCTCCACAGTCTCACTTCATTCTGGAGGTTATCCAATAAATACAGACGCTCTACCTCATCCACGTGAACTGGTTTGTTCGGTGGAAGAATTGATAGCAATGAAAAAAATGATGGGTTGTCAATGAAGCGTTCCCGAATAGAGCAGCTCAAGTCGTCGACGTATGGGAGATATACGGAACGTTTAAAATACTGGGATGCTGAATCAGCACAGACATTGTCGCGATACACTTGTACTTCGACTACTCTGGGTATTGTCAACTCTCTCAAGCCAGCTATTTCACAAGCTTCTTTGTAAATATTCAATGCGATTTCAGAGTCATTGCGTTCTTCAGCGATAACGCTCTGAAGAGAGGATGTGAGGTTCTTTACTGACGGCACACTGACTCCGACTGCCTGAAGTGCGCGCGCTAGTGGCTCCATTAGTGCCGAATATCGACCAATCAAACATACGGCGTAGATAACCGACGACTTTTCTAGAGCAGATTTCAGAGAAAAAGCCTTCACCCGCGTCTCACTGTTAGCATCTCTCGCCAAAGAATCAAGAGCCACAGGTGCTTCTGATGATTGCAACATTACTTTGGTCATTTATGACCAAATTCAAACAATGAGAAGCGCAGTGCACAAATATTGCGCGCGGGTATTTATCACGAATGCGTTTTTGCACACCGCTGACGTGACCTGCCATTGTCGTTGCACCATCATAGCCTTGCCCCACAAGTTTTTGCAAATCCACTCCTATACCAGAGAGGTGGGTCAAAATATTTGAGGAAATTGATTCGGCAGAAACAGAATCCATTTCCACTAATCCTGTGAAGCGCTCGCACACTTCACCACCTTTCACATACCTCAAAACGATGCTTAGTTGTTCTTTCCCAGAAATATCACATGATTCGTCGGCTATTACGGACACAAACGATTTATTAGCCTCTATAACGATATCTTGCACTATCATGTTGCTTGCTACCTTGAGAATTTCATTTTGTATCATCGGGCTTGTATACTTAGCGTTTCCGGCCATTCGAGCGAAATGCCTTTTCAAATCTTCATCCCCTGCGTCGATACGAAATAGAAGAAAGCTCACAAAATTTCCACTATCCCCGGAATGTCCGCGCAAGGGTATGTTACCCGAAGCACAGAACATGACAGTCTTGACAATGGAAGTCATTATTCGTCTGTTTTCTTTTGTTTGCGTAGCATATTGGGCCTCCATGTTTGCACGCACATTTTGACCAGTTTCCATGCTTTTGACAAAATTTTTCGCAGCTATATTTGATTCTCGGTGGTAATTTGTGTCTCGATGGGCTATAGCCTTTTCCATAAATTTTTTGTAGTCAATGCATGGTCTTGTAACAAAG